ATTTCTTTTGTTTCTCTTTACAACAATTCATCGAACGTATAACCTTGCAAATGTGCACAGTATTTTTGTTCCCTCTTTCGTTGCACAAAAATAAGATTTACAACCTTTTTTTTCTACATTTCTTTAACCGAAAATTCCTTGTTGTTTCTCCTAACCTAACCGCAAAGTCTGGGCTCCATAAACTATCCTTTGTTTAAGTGACAGAAACCAAGGTCATGGATAAAAAATGAAATAAAAACAAAAGTATTCCTGTCGATTCCTTCGCTAATGACGTCCATCTCCTCGAAACAGCTTCGGAACTGGTCTCAAGAGCTCATCTCAGGATCACGTGACAACAGAGGAAGACGGCCTATCTTCTGTTACGAAGATTTACATTAAAGCTTATAAAGTGAACACACATATATATATATAAGCCCCAATTTCTTCTTCTTTCTTATTATAGGATTTAGACTATGCTGTCTATATCCCCTATGCCCCAATTTCAAGATCCGTAATCCTCCAAACCTCAAAACTTACCGAACCCGCCCGTGGAAACCCAAAGTTCGAAGCCAGTCTCGAACCAATCTTCGAAAAAAAACATCCCACAGCGAACCTGACTTCCCGCCCCGGCCCTTCGATGCTCCGCCGCGCCCGTTGCCAACCACCGCCCTGCCAAGCTCTCCATCTCAGCTGACAGCGCGCCCGGCGAGTCTTCCGTGGCATAATAGGCTTATGTAATCTGCGGTCAATGATCGTTCTGTCGACTTAGGTATATATTATCATTATATATTCAAAGAGTGAGAGATGTGCAATTGAAATCATTTCGTGTATATACATGTATTCATACATGCATACATACACACATATTAGATAGATAGAAAGATAGATATAGATATATAGGTAGATATACAGAACACACACACACACACACACACACACACACACACACACACACACATATATATATATATATATATATATATATATATATATATATATATATATATATTATATATATATATGTATATATATTATATATATATATATATATATATATATATATATATAATATGTGTGTGTGTGTGTGTGCTGTGTGTATGTATGTATGTATGTGTGGGTGTGTTTGTATATCTACCTATATATCTATCTGTATATATATATATATTATATATATATATATATAATATATATATATGTGTATGTGTGTGTGTGTGGTGTGTGTTGTGTGTGTGTTGTGTGTGTGTGTGTGTGTGTGTGTGTGTGTGTGTGTAAAATTAAAAAATATAATAAAGGTAAATACATATGTACCTGACTCCCCAATTGTGCCCATAAAAGCCATCGTCCAGCGCCATCTCTTATTTCGCAGTGAAACTCCCAGTCATTTACCAGGAAACCGATTTCGTGAATTATTCATCAATTCAATAACTCGCCATGCCGGTTGCTATATATATTTTTTTTTTCGATTTGGGAGGTATAAGTTTCAGTGATGGTGTTTGTTTGTTTATATGAGTTAGATAAATGGTTGATCAAAAGCTAAAATAAAGAATATTTGAATCATACTGTTAGTTTTGCCGCCATAACGTTAGTCTTCATTTTCTCTCCTTCTCTTGGCCTGATTTTTAAAAAATTTCTCTGTCCAGCCTTGAATTTATCAATAACATAAATAATATTTAAGTGCGCAGGGTATGAGAGGAAGGATACACCATACCATAGCTGTTATATAAACCATAGCTTAAGTTTTCGAAAAGGAATCATTCCAGATTTAGAAAAAGGTTAACTACACGCGTCATTTAAATTTTTATGATTGCGTTTTATTCAAATTCATTTTTTTTTTGTGAAGCTGAAATTTTCGAACTTCAGATTTAGAAAAAAAAAAATTAACTACACGTGTCGCCTTTAAATATTTATATGTTTGCGTTTTATTCAAATTCCTTTTTTTAGGTGAAGCTGAAGTTTTCGAAAATGAATCATTCCAGATTTAGAAAAAAAAAAGATTAACTACACGTGTCGCAATTAAATATTTATATGTTTGCGTTTTATTCAAATTTACTTTTTTAGGTGAAGCTGAAGTTTTTGAAAATGAATCATTTAGATTTAGAAAAAGATTAACTACAATGTGTCGCATTTAATATTTATGTGCGTTTTATTCACATTATTTTAGGTGAAAAGGCGTTCAGTGGAAAGGAACGATCAAATACTGGATTCTGTCTCAGTAGCACAAAGCCATATATCTAATCTTACAATTCTGATATAAAAAACGTTATATTCCTATATTAGTTGTCTAAGAGCGTCATAACTCTGATAACAGACGAAGAATTTTCTTAGATAAACTGAAGGGGGTAGCAGTAGCAGGCTCGAAAAGAGATAGGCTAATAGCGCCCATTTCTCCGGGCATCGCCTATCCTTAATCCTATCCCGCGGTCTCCTTCAGGTTCAGTCAGAGGTTCCATCCCGGGACACCTGTGACCTTGAACACGGACAAAAAGGATCCCTAAGGAGACCAAACTAAAAAAAAAAAAAATAACAGAAAAAAAAAGCTGAAATAGAGCAGGCTTTTGGCCGTCGCGTCGCTTCCCTAAATCTTAATAACAGCTTCGACCGCCGTTTTCTGTGCGAGATGGGTGTTGCTCAAGGGGGTAACTCCCATGTTTTTTTCTTCTTTTCTTTTTTTCATTCTTTTTACATTTTTTTACGTGAAACTCATCATCTGCGATGGTATATATAATTCCACTTGGTGCATGTAACGTTATACAAAGACTCGTTAATAGTGGGCGTACGCTGTATTTAGTAGATAATGAAGGTCTGTCATATCGACACTTCAGTCTCGATTACTTTTATGGTGCTCTAAAAACGGCAAAATATTGAGAAAAAAAAAACACCCATAAAGCCTTAAAAAGCGATCACTGTGTTTACAATTACCCGTTTTCAATTTTTTTCTCTTCTTGTAACTACGAGTAACGTATAAGTGTCTTTTCTTCTTTTTCTTTAAATTCATCATCTTTTTCCTCTTCTTTTTCTTTTTCTTCCTTTTATTTTTCCTTTCTTGACATTTCTTTTATTCTACTTTATTTCCATTCTCCCGATCCTTCTTTTCTACATCTCATTCCTATCTTTTTATCTCTCTCTCTCTCTCTCTCTCTCTCTCTCTCTCTCTCTCTCTCTCTCTCTCTCTCTCTCTCTTCTCTCTCTCTCTCTCTCTCTCTCTCTCTCTCTCTCTCTCTCTCTCTATATATCCCTCATTCCTGTTCTTCCCAAACGCACCTTCTCCCCATCCTCTTTCTCATTCTTCCTTTTTCTTATTCCCTTTCTCCTTTCCTTCGTCTACCACTTCAAACACACCTCCCCATCCTTCGTCTTTTTTCTTATTCCCTTTCTCCTTTCCTTCGTCTTCCACTTCAAACACACCTTCTCCCCATCCTTCGTCTTTTTTCTTATTCCCTTTCTACAGACGCAGAAATAAAGGCTTAGCTGTCTATATACCTGACAGATAGATAAATAACAGAGGGAAATTAAAGGAAATAGATAAATAGATAAATAACAGAGGGAAATTAAAGGAAATAGATAGATAAATAACAGAGGGAAATTAAAGGAAATAGATAAATAGATAAATAACAGAGGGAAGTTAAAGGAAATAGATAAATACAGGGAAGTAAAGGAAATAGATAAAACAGAGGGAAATAACAGAGGAAATAAGGAAATAGATAAATAGATAAATAACAGAGGGAAATTAAAGGAAATAGATAAATAACAGAGGGAAATTAAAGGAAATAGATAAAATAGAATAAATAACAGAGGAAAATAAAGGAATAGATAAATAGATAAATAACAGAGGGAAATTAAAGGAAATAGATAAATAGATAAATAACAGAGGGAAATAGATAAATAGATAAATAACAGAGGAAATTAAAGGAAATAGATAAATAGAAATAAAGAGGGAAATTAAAGTAATAAATAGATAAATAACAGAGGGAAATTAAAGGAAATGGATAAATAGATAAATAACAGAGGGAAATTAAAGGAAATAGATAAATAGATAAATAACAGAGGGAAATTAAAGGAAAGATAAATAACAGAGGGAAATTAAAGGAAATAGATGAATAGATAAATATAAGAGGTTAATTAAAGGAAATAGATAAATAGATAAATAACAGAGGAAAATTAGGAAAATAGATAAATAGATAAATAACAGAGGGAAATTAAAGGAAATAGATAAATAGATAAATAACAGGAGGGAAATTAAAGGAAATAGATAAAATAGATAAATAACAGGGAAATTAAAGGAAATAGATAAATAGATAAATAACAGAGAGAAATTAAAGGAAATAGATAAATAGATAAATAACAGAGGGAAATTAAAGGAAATGGATAAATAGATAAATAACAGAAGGAAATAAAGGAAATAGATAAATAGATAAATAACAGAGGGAAATTAAAGGAAATAGATAAATAGATAAATAAGAGAGGGAAATTAAAGGAAATAGATAAATAGATAAATAACAGATGGAAATTAAAGGAAATAGATAAATAGATAAATAACAGAGGGAAATTAAAGGAAATAGATAAATAACAGAGGTAAATTAAAGAAATGGAATAAATAGATAAATAAGAGAGGGAAATTAAAAGAAATAGATAAATAGATAAATAACAGAGGGAAATTAAAGGAAATAGATAAATAACAGATGGAAATTAAACAGAGGGGAATTAAAGAAATAGATAATAGATAAATAGCAAAGGGAAATTAAAGGAAATAGATAAATAGATAAATAACAGAGGGAAATGAAAGGAAATAGATAAATAGATAAATAGAAGGGAAATAAAGCAGATAAGAGGGAAATTAAAGAATAGATAAATAGATAAATAACAGAGGAAATTAAAGGAAATAGATAAATAGATAAATAACAGAGGGAATTAAAGTGATGTTTAACGAGATGAAAATAAATAGGAGAGAGAAATTAGGGTGATAAATAGTAGAGGGAAAGGATGTTGATGTCTAGCGAGATATGAAATAATTTAATAGAAGGAAATTGAGGTGATTGTAAAAAATGAGGGAAAGAGAGATAATGAATAGGAGAAGGAAAATGAGACGATAATTAGTAGAGGGAATGTGAGGTGATATTTGGCAGAAGGAAATGCCACAGTAAAACAGAAAAAAGGAGAAAAAGTGAAACATTGGTCCAGAAGGAAATGACTAGCAGATGGAAATTAAGTTGATATATAGCGAGAAGAAAAGAAATAGCAAAGGGAAATTAAGGAATCAAGAGAGAAGGAAAAATAGCACAAAGAAAAAATGAGATAATGTCTAGCTAAAAAAAAAAATAATAATAATAATAATAATAAAAAAGAATAAATAAATAAATTAAGGCCAAAAGGGAACAAAAATAATTGAGAAAAATTAAGCTGAGGTCCAGCCAGGTGAATTAATAACACAGAGAAATTAAGGTGATTCACAGCGTGAGAAAAGAAGAAGAATCAATAGCAGACGATAACGAATAGCAACTAGCAAGGACCGAAAAAAACTTTTTCTGAAAACCGAACTTGCTGAACATAAAACATCTTTACTGTCCTTGAAATTCCCCGTTAAGTGATTTTTATGACATGTAAGTGGTATACAACACTCTTGCCCCTAAATACTCGCTTTCAGAATACTCTAAGTCGAAGTATAATGATGATTGACACTCACATAAGGATACATAATGAGGATATGGTATATAATATATCCTCTGCACGTTAATCCATTATCTATTATATAATGGGGCATGGACGATTGGACACGTGTGTATGTGTATGTATGTATGTATGTGTGTGTATGCTTATAAGTTTGTATGTATGTTCATGTTTATAAGTACGGTGTATAAACACTTATACAAAGAGGTATAATAATATACACACGGAATAAGTAAATACGATTTTGATATGTGAATACGCTGCATAAGCACTTATATAAAGATGTATATACACACAGGATAAGTAAAATACGCTTTTGATATATGTGTGTATATATATGTCACATTTGGGGATTGTGTGTGTGTGTGTGTGCGTGTGTGTGTGTGTGGTGTGTGTGTGTGTGTGTGTGTGTGTGTGTGTGTGCCTGTGTGTGTGTGTGCGTGTACCCACAACAAAGAATATCAATCATGCTTTTTATTACATACATGCACTGATTATAATAACTATGACTGTGATATGACGATAACAACAATACATGCACTGATTATAATAACTATGACTGTGATATGACGATAACAATAATTTTTTTAGCTGGAATGACATTGAGGAGAGAAATGAGAACAAATTTATGATCAGATGGCAGTGAGGGAAATGATAGCACCAGTAATGAAAAGATAAGGATAGTAATGATAAAAAGATAATGATAAAAATCAATATATTAGAAATGATAATGATAAAAAGGGTAATTGTAAAAATGATAATGATAAAAATGATAATGATGAAAATTATCAGGATAAAAAAGGATAATAATAAATACGATAATGATGAAGATAATAATGATGAAAGGGATAAATAAGAAAAAGATAATGATGAAAATAATTATAATGATAAAAAAGATAATGATAAAAATGATAATGGCAAAAGAAAATTATTAAAATATAGATGAACTGATACTGATAAAAATAATAATGATAAGGATAGTGCTAATGACAATCATGATTATGATGTTACTGATAATAACAATCATGATGATAATGAAAATTATAATGGCAATGATAACGATTTGATAACAACAACACGGTGTTAATTGCATCCAAAACACCAACGATAAGTGTCATTTTTTATTATAATAATTCGACAACAAGAACGACGACGATGATGCCGACCAAAGCAAAGCAACAACGACGTGTTATTTTTAATTATAATAATTCGACAACAACAACAGCGAGATGATGGCGTCCAGAGCAACAACGGTAAGTGTAATTTTTAATAACAACAACAACAACAACGATGTGCTGCGTCCAAAACAACATTGATAAGTGTCATTTTTGATGTTAATAATTCTACAACAACAGCAGCAACAACTCTGGACCATGGCAACAAAAGTGTATTTCTAAATGATAAGAATTCGACAACAACAACAGCAAACAACAACAACGAGATGATGGCGTCCAGAGCTACAACGGTAAGTGTAATATTTAATAACAAAACAACCACGATGTGCTGCGTCCAAAACAACATTGATAAGTGTCATTTTTTATGATAATAATTCTACAACAACAGCAACAACTCTGGACCATGGCAACAAAAGTGTATTTCTATATGATAAAAATTCGACAACAACAACAGCAACAACAACAACGATGATGATCACGTCCAGAGCAACAACGATAAGTGTAATATTTAATAATAACAACAACAACAACGATGTCTTGCGTCCAAAACAACAACGATAATTTTCATTCTTGATAATAACAATTCGACAACAACAACCACGTCCACAACAACAGCCAAGTCCACAACACTAATAACAACAACAACAACGATGTCTTGCGTCCAAAATAACAACGATAATATTCATTATTGATAATAGCTATTCGACAACTAACAACAACCACGTCCACAGCAACAACAACCACGTCCACAACAACAACCACGTCCACAACAACAACCACACAACACCACGTCCACAACAACAACACCATCACAACACACCACGTCCACAACAACAACAACCACGTCCACAACAACACAACACGTCCACAACAACAACCACGTCCACAACAACAACCACGTCCACAACAACAACCACGTCCACAACAACAACAACAACACGTCCACAACAACAACCACGTCCACAACAACAACCATGTCCACAACAACCACGTCCACACAACAACAACAACCACGTCCAAACAACAACAACAACACGTCCACAACACAACCACGTCCACAACAACAACCATGTCCACAACAACCACGTCCACAACAACAACCACGTCCACAACAAACCACGTCCACAACACAACCATATCCACAAACAGTCCACAACAACAACAACAACAACAAGCCACGTCCACAACAACAACCACGTCCTCAACAACAGCCATGTCCACAACAACAACGTCCACACAACAACACACGTCCACAACAACAACCACGTCCACAACAACAACAACAACCACGTCCACAACAACTACAACCACGTCCACAACAACAACAACGTCCCACAACAACATGTCCACAACAACCACGTCCACAACCACCACGTCCACTACAACAACCACGTCCACTACAACAACCACGTCCACAACAACAACAACCACGTCCACAACAACAACATCCACAACAACAACAACCACGTCCACAACAACGCAACGTCCACACAACAACCACGTCCACTACAACAACCACGTCCACAACAACACAACAACAACCACGTCCACAACAACCACGTCCACAACAACAACCACGTCCACAACAACAACAACCACGTCCACAACAACAACCACGTCCGCAACAACAACCACGTCCACAACAACAACCACGTCCCACAAACAACAACAACCACGTCCACAACATCAAAACACGTCCGCAACAAACAACCACGTCCACAACAACAACCAACAACAACAACGTCCACAACAACAACCACGTCCACAACAACAACCACGTCTACAACACCACGTCCACAACACACAACCACGTCCACAACAACAACAACAACAACCAGTCCACAACAACCAACAACCACGTCCACAACAACCAACCACGTCCACAACAACAACAACCACGTCCAACAACAACAACCAACGTCACAAAACAACAACCACGTCCACAACAACAACAACAACAACCACGTCCACAACAACAACAACAACCACGTCCACAACAACAACAACCACGTCCACAACAACAACACGTCCAACAACAACAACCACGTCCACAACAACAACCCGTCCACAACAACAACAAACAACACGTCCGCAACAACAACACAACCACGTCCACAACACGTCCACAACACACAACAACACGTCCACAACAACAACAACAACCACGTCCACAACAACACAAACAACACCACGTCCACAACAACAACAACAACCACGTCACAACAAACAACAACAACCACGTCCACAACAACAACAACAACAAACCACGTCCCACAACAACAACAACAACCAAGTCCACAACAACAACCACGTCCACAACAACAACCACGTCCACAACAACAACAACAACCACGTCCACAACAACAACAACCACGTCCACAACAACAACAACCACGTCCACAACAACAACAACAACAACCACGTCCACAACAACAACAACAACACCACGTCCACAACAACACAACGTCACACAACAACACTCCACAACAACAACAACAACAACCACGTCCACAACAACAACAACCTACGTCCACAACAACAACAACCACGTCCACAACAACAACAACAACAACCACGTCCCAACAAACAATAACAACAACCACGTCCACAACAACAACAACCACGCCACAACAACAAACAACCACGTCCACAAAAAACAACCACGTCCACAACAACAACAACCACGTCCACAACAAAACAACAACAACCACGTCCCACAACAAACAACAAACCACGTCCACAACAACAACAACAACCACGTCCACAACAACCACGTCCACAACAACCACGTCCACAACAACCACGTCCACAACAACAACCACGTCCACAACAACAACAAAAACCACGTCCACAGCAACCACGTCCAAACAACAACAACAACAACACGTCCACACAACAACCAACGTCCACAACAACAACCACGTCCACAACAACAACCACTCCCACAAACAACAACCACGTCCACAACAACAACTACGTCCACACAACCACGTCCACAACAACAACCACGTCCACACAACCCACAACAACAACCACAACAACCACTTCACAACAACAACATGTCCACAACAACAACACCACGTCCACAACAACAACAACAACCACGTCCACAACACACAACAACAACCACGTCCACAACAACAACCACGTCCACAAACAACAACAACACAATCCACAACAACAACAACACATCCACAACAACAACACAACCACGTCCACAACAACGCTAACATAACAACAACCACGTCCAAACAACAACCACGACCACAAAACAACAACAACCCACGTCCACAACAACAACAACAACCACTTCCACAACAACAACAACAAACAACCACGTCCACAACAACAACCACGTCCATAACAACAACAACCACGTCCACAACAACAACAACCCAACGTCCAACAACCACGTCCACAACAACACAACCACAACCAACAACAACAACAACCACGTCCACAACAAACAACACCACGTCCACAACAACAACAACACAACAACAACCAACTCCACAACAACAACAACCACGTCCACAACAACTAACAAACAACACAACCACGTCCACAACAACAACAACCACGTCCAAACAACAACAACAACAACAACAACCACGTCCACACAACAACAACAAAAAAACACACAAACAACCACGTCCACAGCAACGCTAATAACAAGCGAGGCAGAGCGACGTGCAGAAGCGAGGCGACTTCCTTGTGCCAATGAGTTGTGAGTTTCCGGAAGCAGCTTTGTCATCCTTACTCTTTCTTCCTCCTCTTTATCCTCCTCTTTTTTTATTCGTTATCTTTGTTCGTTTGATTTCCTGGATTTTCTTTCTTTTTTGTCCTGTTACGTTCTTCCTTTCATTTATCTGTTTTTCTCATTTCTTTCTCTGCATTTATCTCTTATGGCCTATGATGGTGATGATGACGATGAGTTTCATCACCATTATTATCATTATCATAATTATTATCATCATAATTATTATCATTATCATGATTATATAAACATTAATCACCATCACATCATTATCATCATAAATATAATTAATCATCATAAATATCATTAATCATTATCATAATTATCATAATCATTATCATTACCATAGTTATCATAAATAATATCATTACCATAATGACTAATGACATTATCACCATTATGATTATCATTATCATAACATTTCCTATAGCATTAGTCATCCTTGCACTCTTTGCTAATTATTATCTTTCTTATCGCTGCTTATTTTTCTCTTTAATATCTTTTCCTCAATCCCTGCATTAAATCTCTCTCTCTCTCTCTCTTCTCTCTCTCTCTCTCTTTCCCTCTCTCTCTCTATCTATCTATTATCCTCCTCTCTCTCTCTCTCTTTTCTCTCTCTCTCTCTATCTACTATTATCTCTCTCTCTCTCTCTCTCTCTTCTCTCTTCTCTCTTTCTGCTTCTCTCTCTCTATCTATCTATCTATTATCTATCTATCTATCTATCTTTCTCTCTCTCTCTCTCTCTCTCTCTCTCTCCCTCTCTCTCTCTCTCTCTCTCTCTCTCTCTCTCTCTCTCTCTCTCTCTCTTCTCTCTCTCTCTCTCTCTCTCTCTTTCCTCTTTATTTTCATCTTATTTCCCTTTTCATCACTTTCTTCATATCCTTTCATTTTCAATTTCGTCTCTAAGCCATAAACCCTACATTGATTATGATCTTTATTTCATTTTCTCTCTATCTCCTTCCATTTCGTCCTTCCCATTCTGATAAAACATTTAACGTTTACTCTTCTTTTTCTTTCGTTTTCCATCGTTGTCTTATGCATCCCATTTAATTCTTATTCTTATTCTTCCTTCTCCTTCGTCCTAATTTCCTTACTTTTATCTTACTTTTCCAGTTTACCTTCACATATTTATCTTTCTTCCTCTCCTCCTCTTCATTTTCCTGCTCTCTTTCCATTTCCTCTTTCTTCATACTCCTTTTCTTCTTCTCCTTCTTCCTCCCTTTCCCCTCCTCCACTTCCTTCACATTCATCTTCTTCTTCTTTTTCTCCTCTTTTTTCCCCATTTTCCCCTCTACCTCATCCCAATCCTTCTTTTTTTTCTCATCTTCCTCCTCCTCCTCCTATTTTTTCCTCCCCCTTTCCCCTCTTCCTCTTCCTTATTCTTCTTCTACTTCTTTTTTTCAATCTCCTTTCCCCTTCTCCTCTTCCTCCTCCTTTTTTCCTTCTCCATTCCCCTCTTCCTCCTCCTTATCCTTCTTCTCTTGCTCTTCCTCTTCCTCTTTTTTCCTTCCCCGTCCCCCTATTCCTCCTCCTTATCCTTTTTCTCTTCCTCCTCCTCTTCCTCCTTTTTTCCATCCCTTTTCCGCTCTTCCTCCTTTTTTCCTTCCCCTTTCCCCTTCTCCTCATCCTCCTCTTTTTTCCTTCCTTNTTCAATCCCCTTACCAGAAAAACACCCATTTTCTATCATTCATTTTCTAAACGAACACCCAATCAAAGAAAACGAGAACGCAAAACAGAAAACGGGAAGGAGTAAAGCCAAGCCCCGCCCACCCGCAGGTCGCCCGCCAGACGACCCTCCCGACCGTGCCTCAACGCCACGCGAGTTTCCAGCGCCAGCTTTCCCAGCGCCTCCACCTCGACAGCATCCAGTTCTCGGTCTGCAACCTTGAGAAGAAGGATGACCTCGGTTTGCTGAAGGTGAGGTCAAGGGATGTTCAACGGCGGGATTTTTTTTTGGGGTGTGGAAATAAAGGTGGCGATTATTTGTGGTTTTGGTCATCGCAAAATGTGATTGTTTTCATAAATGGAAAGTAGATAAGTAGTTCGGATTTTTTTTTATCCAAGAATGGAATCTTATTCGAAAATCCTTAATGTTTGTCATGAGATTAATGAGATTTTTTTTTCTTCCACGTCTCTTCCTCCGTCGACCTAAATCAACCTCAATGACTTCCTGGTCTTGTTTTTTTCCCTATCCCTCGCTAATGATTTGCGTTCCCTTCTCTCTCTCTCTCTCTCTCTCTCTCTCTCTCTCTCTCTCTCTCTCTCTCTCTCTCTCTCTCTCTCTCTCTCTCTCTCTCTCTCTCTCTCTCTCTCTCTCTTCTTCTCCCCTCCTCCCACACTCTTCCCCTCTCCCCTCACTCCCCTCATCTCCCCTCACTCCCTCACTCCCCTTCCCACCCCCCTCACTCCCTCCTCCCCCTCCTCCCTCATCCCCACCCTCCCTCCCCCCTCTCCCCCTCACTCCCACCCCTCATTCCCCCCTCACCCCCTCACTCCTCTTCCTCTCCCCCTCACTCCCCTCCCTCTCCCCCTCATTGCCCCTCACTCCCCTTCCCCTCTCCCCCTCACTCCCCTCCCTCTCCCCCTCCTGCATTGTACCCGCAGCCTGAACTGTACAGGAACGAGCTCATCCGCCAGGCGTCCGTCGAGAGTTCCGGCGCAGGATCGGACACGGAGGCCGTAGGGCGTCTCCGCTTCACGCTCAAGTACGACCCCGCTATCGAGGGTCTCATTGTCAAGGTGAGGCGCGCGGTTTTTCCCGTTTTCTCTCTTCGGCTACAAGATATTTCCCGTTTTCTTTCTTCGGATACAAGATATGTCCCGTTTTCTTTCTTCGGCTACAAGATATTTCCCGTTTTCTTTCTTCGGATACAAGATATTTCCCGTTTTCTTTCTTCAGCTGCTTGGTTACTTCCGTTTTCTGTCTTCGGTTGCAAGATCTTTCCGGTTTTTAACATTTGTATCTCTCTCTCTCTCTCTCTCATCTCTCTCTCTCTCTCTCTCTCTCTCTCTCTCTCTCTCTCTCTCTCTCCTCTCTCTCTCTCTCTCTCTCTCTCTCTCCTCTCCTCCTCTCTCTCTCTCTCTCTCTCTCTCTCTCTCTCTCTCTCTCTCTCTCTCTCTCTCTCTCTCTCTCTCTCGTTCTCTCTCTCTCTCTCTCTCTCTCTCTTCTCTCTCTCTCTCTCTCTCTCTCTCTCTCTCTCTCTCTCTCTCTCTTCTCTCTCTCTCTCTCTCTCTCTCTCTCTCTCTCTCTCTCTCTCTCTCTCTCTCTCTCTCTCTCTCCTCTCTCATCTCTCTCTCTCTTCTCTCTCTCTCTCTCTCTCTCTCTCTCTCTCTCTCTCTCTCTCTCTCTCTCTCCTCTCCCTCTCTCTCTCGTCTCTCTCTCTCTCTCTCTCTCTCTCTCTCTCTCTCTCTCTCTCTCTCTCTCTCTCTCGGTTTTTTTTTCTATCTCCTCTTTTTCATATCCTCTCTCTTCCCCTCCTCTCCCGGTCCTCCTGCCTGACACGTTATTTCTTCTGCTTTTCTCGTTCTCTTGATGTCCTATGTCTATCTTTATCTATTCATAGTCGACTCCTCCATCGCTCTGCTTCCTCGCTATTCACACTCGCATCATTATCACACACACAAGAAACTCGGCCCAGTGAGGCATAACAGAATCTAAGACAAAAGGCCGCAAATCGAAGGAAAAGAAAATGGGAAATCGAAGAAAATGGGAAATGCAGGGTTCACTTTTACATTTTCGCTTACATATTTACACGTCACAGAGCATGATTTTGTCTGCATCTTGGTTATGAAATAATTTTCAGTTCTAAGAGGTTCGCTTCTACCTCGTGGGGTAAAACACACAGTTTCACTTCAGTTTTTCATTGTCAATTCCTAGCGCATCATTTCGACTTCTTGGTCACTTCATGTCACTCTCATTTCCTCAGTCTCACTTCGACGTTTCAATTTCATATCAAAATATGCTTTTCTGTCCTCTAGTTTTTAGAAAATAATTTCGACTCATCAGTTCCTCATTTTCATTTAGAAACGAACCTCGACTTCCCGACATAAAAAGATAAATCCTTCGTGTTCTAGAATAAAAGTTAGATTCATTTTCACTTCCTCATTCAAACCAACAATACCTTCTCACTTCCACTTTCCTCACTTCGACTTCCCAGTAAAAAGAATAAGAATAAGAATTAAAAATAAGTTAAGAATACATATATATAAGAAAAGGCATCCTCACTTTCATTCCACCCATTTCACCTTTCTTCACTTTTAACTTCCCGGGTGAGGATAATCTCACATTTTCACACCGATCCAGCCCCTTTAGCTCCGGTTCCGTGTGCCTGTGATTTATCCTGCATCCAGCTTAATCCGCTTAGTGCGCGAACGATTTTCTGTATCACAGATGGGCGAGAATGATCCCCATGGGAGGAGAATGGGGGGGCAGGGGAGGAGGGGTGAGGAGGAGAAGGGAGGGTGAGGAGGAGAGGAAGGAGGGAGGAAGGGAGGGGGAGGAGGGGAAAGGAGGGGTGAGGAGGAGAGGAAGGAAGGAGGTAGAGAGGGGGGATAGGGGGGAAGAGGGTAGAGGGGGGAATGGGAGGAGAGGAAGGAGGGGGGAAGGAGGGAGGAAGAGAGGGGGGATAGGGTAGGTGGGGTGAGGAGGAAGGAAGGGGGAGGTAGAGAGGGGGGTAGGGGGGAAGAGGGTAGAGGGGGATGGGAGGTGAAGAGAGAGGAAGGAGGAAGAAAGGAGGCAGCAAGATGGGGGATTAGGGAGGAGGGGGATAGGGGTGAAGGAGGCAGAAAGGGAGGAGGGGGATGGGGGCGAGGGAGGCAGAGAAGGGGGGATAGGGAAGGAGGGTGAAGGAGAGGAGGGGGAGGAGGAGGTAGAGGGAAATGGTGGTAAAGAGGGAGAAGGGGGAGAGAGGGGAAGGAGGGATAGTGGGGAGTGGTAAGCAGGGGGGGGGGGGCAAAGAAACGATAGGGTTTTTGTAAGAGGGGAAAAGATAGATTGTGTTTAGTAGGGGTGTAACAGATCTGATAATTTTCTATTACTTTTTGTATTTTGACATATTACATATTTTCCTCTTCCCCACCTTTATTATGCATATCTCTCTCTATATATGTGTGTATATATATATGTATATATATATATATATATATATATATATATATATATATATATATGTACATATACACACACACACTCATATATACATACAAATACTAATCTATACTTAAATATTTGGATACACACATAGACACACACACATACACGAACTTTATATATATATATATATATATATTATATATATATATATATATATATATATATATATATATATATATATATATATATATATATATACATATATATATATTCAGATATACATACGCATAATATGTATGCATATACTTTATATACGTACATTTATACACAGACGGAAATACGTCTCTGAAGCTCCCCGCCCAAGCGCCGTCTCCTCTCCGCAGGTGGTCCAGGCCCTCGACCTCCCGGTGAAGGACGTGACAGGCTCCTCCGACCCGTACATCAAGGTCTACCTCCTTCCCGACCGCAAAAAGAAGTTCTGCACGAAGGTTCATCGCCGCAACTTGAACCCCGAGTTTAATGAGGTGTTCGTCTTCAGGTAAGGTGGGCACGTGGGGAGGGGGAGGGGAGGGGGAAGGGGGATAGAGGAGGAAAAGGCGGGAGGGGGTGGAGGGGGGAAGAGGGGAAGAGGAGAAGAGGAGAGATGGAGGAGGAGGGTGGGGGGAGGGGGAAGAGGAGAGATGGAGGAGGGGGAGGGGTAGAAGGACTGAGGGGCAGGAGAATAGGCGAACAGGTAAGTTAAGGATGAACAGAAGGGATAGGAAGGAGGGAAGGGATGGAACGAAGAGGTAGAAAGGAGCATAGGTCAACGAAAAACAGGAAAGAAAGACAGAGAAGAGGCAGTGAGAAATACTTCAGAAGAGAGAAGGGAAAGAAAGAAGAGACAGATAAAGAGATAAGCGAAAGGGGGGGAGGAGGAGGAGAGAGAAAGAGGAAGGAGAGGAGGGAGAAAGAAGCAAGAAAGAGGGAAGAAGGTGGGAGAGGAGCGGCAGTAGTTAGAGGAAGGCCAACCCTGCCATCCGAGAATTTTACGACAGTCTTACGGCCTCGATATACATTTTCATAGATCATCCTGACGTATTCCTTCTTTTTTCGTTCTATAAGCCTCAACTTACACATTCTCAAGCATGAAAATTATAGCCCCGTCGCACAATAAAACAGAAATATAGCAAGACCGGGATTATAGCCCCCAGAGGCAAGTACTCTGGATTTTGAATTTCAACTTCTTCTTGAAGTCGATGATTGCAAAAAAGAGATGAGAGAGCAAGAAGAGACGAGAGAGCTTGAAGAGATGATTAAAAAGAAGAAAAAAGAAGAGAGCGAGAGAGCAAGAGAGCGAGCGGGAGAAAGGGAGAGAATATGTGATACAGTAAATTATAAGAAAAAGAGAATGAGAAAGAGGAAAAATTAAGAAAAATGAAGAGAAGGGGGAAGAGATAAAAATAAAATCCAAGAGGTTATAGTGAAGAAAAAATGAAACGATAGAAGTTAGGAAAGGAAACGAAGATAACCAATAAACATAAAACAATTCGATTATTATGCTGATACGAAAAATTATATACAAACCAAAAGATGCACGTTGAGTTAGACATGAAAACACAAGTTAAGAATTACTAACTAAACAGATGAAGTAAAGATATTGAGGATAGACAAATAGACTTATTTATGCAAAGAGAAGATGTCAAATAGATAAACCTCGGGTTGGACCGATAGACAGAGAACTACACAGTTAGATAAAGCTATAAATAACGAGATAAACAAAAGAATCAACATAAGCTACAATAGAATGACAGACAGACACGTAAAGGCCCGATATATCCACATACAGAGAGCTATGTAGTGAATAAGAGACAAAGAAAGTCACATTTTCTCTCTTGACATAAAACATTTTACGAATTCATTTCATTTCGTGTCTTGTTCACTTCACCTCACCAGTCTATTTCAAGGACTAAGGTAATTACGGACAGACAGACAAACTAAAGAGGAAGGCCGCAGTCACCTTCATCTATTTCTGCGACTCTCCGCGAATAGATGATGCATCGATGGCAGTCGTATCACTTGTATTACATTTCAGATAGTTCGTATATACTGTTACATTATAGGGCGTTTT